ACAATGCTATGTTTTTTGTTTTGTTTTTTGTCTTTGATACCTGATACCTGATCCCTTTGACGCCTTGTGATCTCACAGGCTGGTGTGCTTCTTCATGTGGGCTTTGTTGTTTCTCAGTTAGATGAGCCCTTGTTTATCTTCTTTCCATGAACTTTTCGAAGCATCTACAGGCCATTTTCATTTTATTCACTCAAAAGAGTGAAGCACTAGAAAAAAAGTTTTCACCATAATTTCTAAGTTAATAACACCTGAGCACGCACATTTCTATAATACATTGATCGGTGCCCTGTAAGAAGTGATAAAAATAAACTGAAGTGACAACCTCTTCCCTGATTAGTTGTTTAATTCCTTTCATTAACGAATATGTTGATGGTTGACCTTCTGGTAAAATGCTTTATAACCCCACTTTGGGCCTCTCTTTTGATTCATGTAGTTTTAAGCCTAGCAATGCCTTTGGAATCTGAGAATAGGTTCACGTGATTCTCTGTTAACTAGAGCAACTGCCTCGACAGAGTCTCCTTTATCCCAACAGTAAGATTTCAAGAGTTCTCAGATACATTATTGAAATGCATGGTGTTTTTGTAAATGTCTATATATTTGCCTTTATTTATTTCTAATCAGGGTCCTCCTGGAATGCAAGGAGCACAGCAGACTTTTGGTGGATATTATAACAAGGTATGCTTTTATCCTCTCCTGTCTCAGATACACAGATATAATAAGGTGGTGTTTTTGGAGAGAGGAAAAAAGTTACTAATTCTTAACATGATTGCATGTGCTTCTTTCATATTGAAAATTATATTTCAAAAACCCTATGTTGTTTAGAATCTTTTTACAAAATACAATGTTTAGTTAAAATTTTCGTTGCTGTATAAAATTATGTCCCATACAGAATGAGGAGGGTAACGAAGGTACAGAGGTGCTTGACACAATTGATGTATGTTTGGATTGTGATAGAGTTGTATGAGCCCCTAATAAAATGATTTTTAATGCAAAAACAAAAAATAAATAATTATTTTAATTTTAAAAAACTTATGTCCCACCATTGATAATGTCATTTATCTACTTCTCCTAAGGATAAACCCAAATCACAGCCACTGCCATCAAATTGATTCCAACTCTCTTGAAGCTTTGGGTAGTAAAATAGATGATATATTTCTTAATAAATTCAATAGATTGCATTTAGATCTGAAAGAAGGTCCTTGTGTTAGTCCAGGTAGACTAGAGAAACAAATTCATAAACATTCATATGTGTATAAGAAAGCATAAGTCCAGTATCAGCCCATATGTCCGATACCAATCTATAAAGTCCTCTTCAGACTCACAAAACACATGCAATGATGCTGAATGCAGGAAGATCACAGGCCAGTGGGTGCAAGGTGTTAGGGATCCAGTGGTGGTAGAAGCATCGCAGCACTGGCAGGGGTCTCCATGTGGCTCTTCCAGTTCCCAGGGCACCGAGTCTGTCAGCATAGTGACATGTGTCTTGTCAGTAGAGCATCTCCAAGGGAGTGAGCCTGGAGAGTGTATGTCTCCTGCCTCCAGGGAGGAAACACAGGGGTTCCCAGAATCCTCAGAAGACCATGCCCACACAGAGGCCTCATTTGGCTATGACCCAATTGACACACTAGCCTCCACCCCTCACTCTTAATCTTCTCAAGTCCCAAATTGACACCAGATTATGTAACTACCACAGGCCTACATACCATAGGTCAAAAACAGGAAGTCATCACCCTTTTCGGGGAGGTGCTTTGGACTTCCTCCAAGGTTTTATGATCACAACTAGCATAAGTGCAGTGCTGACATGATTTGTCTCAGTAGTAAAAGACAAAATAGTTCTGATCCCTCTTATCTACGAAAAGGAGCCCTAGCGGTGTAGTGGTTACGCCTTGGGCTGCAATCGGCGGTTCAAAACACCAGCCACTCCTTGGGAGAAAGGTCCGGCTTTCCATTTCAGTAGAGTGACAGCCCCGGAAACTCACAGGGGCAATTCTACCCTGTCCATTAGGGTTGCTATAAGTCAACATCGACTCAGTAGCAGTAAGTTTTTTATATATGGAAGAATAACAGAGTGAGAAGACTGAGTGTTGGCAACCCAGTAGACTTGGAGACCTAGTAAAATCACTGGTCCTTCATCCCTAAACAATATTTTGTATTTGCATTCTGATCACTGCGCTGTGCTTTGTGCTCTGCATGAGGCACTGTCCACTGAGTCATATAGATATTTATTCCTGGATTCCTTCCTGGGGAGTAATTGCTCCACTACACAGAAGTAAAGCTGGGAGCCCGCCTCCTGCTCGTTATGTTGTTCCTCTCTGTGCTTGCTTTCCCTTCCTGTGAGTAAAAACTGCTGACTGTTGTTGGTCCTCTCTACTGAGACACTCCAGAGAGACTGATGTGCCACTACAGGCCTTGAAGTCAGCAGGTGATACATATATGTTAAATGATAAACTAATTGATTCATAAATCCCAATTCTTCTCCACAAAATTAATTTCAACATAAGACCTAGGCAGATTGTGGCTGCTATATACAAAATCATAAACATAGGACATGTTTATACTTCCTAAGAAGTCCAGTATCTTAAGCCTGCACTTATTAAATATTATTAAATAATTTATGGAATTACATGGAAAGATAGTTATTAGTGTTATGCAGAGCAATAATGTCGTCTTCTACTTTTGTGTCAAGGCTCAAATTCATCTCGGGTAAATATTTATTTTACTTATAGGGTGTTATTTCCAAACAAACTATTAAGGTACATGGTTACCTTCCACTCGGTGATAATGAAGTGCTGAGTTACAATGTGAAGTTATTGATTCTATTTGTAAATGAGACACTTTACAAGTTTCTGAGTCTCTGTCTGCTCTTGTCAGCACAGATTCTAATCCTCCTCCCCACCCCATCCTCCAGGCCAAGTGCAACACAAACTGTTACCTTAGGAGAAAAAAAAAGTCGTGTAATTTTTTTCTTAACTAGTAATTCTTATTACAAAACTTCACATTGTCTCACATTTACATTTTCAAAATAATTTACATTATCACGTTAGAAATTTTAGATGTACAGAAGAATGAAAAAGATAACATAGAACCTTTCTGTGTTACACACAGTCCAACAGAGGGTTTCCCCTGTTACTAACATCTTAACTTAGTATGGCACAGTTGTTACGATGAGGGAATCAGTGTTGATAGTTTATAGTAAGTATACTTCCTGCTACAATGTCTCATCCAGGACACCACATTCCAAGTACTTGTCTAGTCTTCTCAGGCTCCTCTTGACTTGGTAGATGCTTGGTGCCGCAGTGGGTTAAGCATTGGTTGCTAACTCCAAGGTCAGCCTTTCAAATCCACTAGCCGGCTGCTCTGTGCCAGAAAGATGAGGCTGCTTGTTCCCACAGAGACTGGCAGCGTTCTTAAAGTACGCGTTTTTTTCCAAAACATTAGTGGTTGGCACAAACCCACTGCCTTCAAAGTGATTCTGACTCACAGTGGTCTGATAGGCTTACCAAGATTATAAATCTGTAGAAGAGCAGAAAACTTCATTGTTCTCCTGAGGGGTGACTGGTGGCTTTGAACGACCAAACTGGCAGTTAGCAAGCAGTTCAATGCCTAACCCAACCTGCCCGAGTTTGGAAGATGTCGTAAAAATAAGTCAATGGATATGTAAATTAATTAAAGTACAGGGATTTTTCCTATTAAGACACCTATTACAAAGCAGAATTTATGTTAAATACTTAAAATTAATGAGAATAAATTGGGCGTGATGTCCTTATCACCTAGAAAAGTGTAGAGGACACACTACATTATTGTCACCCTTGGTATGAAATTTACCACGTTCCTACTGAGCTGTCTAATATTTGCTCTCTCTTGCAAAACTTTGGAAGCGCCTCTCTTTACTGGTCTCCCAGCGGCACTTCTATATACAGTTTATCTTGCCAAGGACTCGGTTTTCTCTTAAATGAAGATATATGGAGCATTTCTATTTTAGAGTCTGAAGTTGAGAATGTAAATTTCTAAACTGTAAGGTTATATTTCTGATCTGGGGCTCTCTAGAACAGCTGAATACAGAAGCTTTCTAGGGGCACATCAATATTTTGACTTAGCTTTTAACTTACCTGACAGGACTCCCAGTATCCTTATTGCCGTTGTAGCCCTGCAGCTCCCAGGTGCTCTGACTGGTGCATCAGAGCTGGAAGGTAACTGTCTAATGAGGAGAGAGAGTGCCTTTTCTTTTCTCTCCCCAGTGATGCACTGCAACCATTCCGTAAGAGAGGCTTCGTATCTATCCAGGAATTAATGGTGACAATAGTGAATCTTCTCAACAACCAACCAAAAGATTGTAGGCTCTAGTCCACCAAAGGCTACTCAGAAGAAAAACTCAGAGATTCTACATTTGAAAAATCAGCCATTGAAAACTTTACGAAGCACAGTTCGACCCGGACACATCCGGGATTGCTAGGCGCCAGCAGTGATTGGATGGCAACTAAAGGCGCTGTTTCTTCTTAAAGTAATGTCTTGCAGTGAGGTCCCGCCATCATAATGGGCACCCATCCTGACCAGTGCTCCCAGCCTGTATTCACCATCCCTTCACCCCCAGCTCACAAGGGTCAAATATACCACCATGAGCGAGGGGCATGCTTTCACTCAGCAGGGTCCCCTCCCACCTGCCTCCACCTGTTTTAAGATACTGAATTGTTTCATTTTGTGATTTGTTTCGTGCCTGGTGGTCTAAGCAAATGAGTAAGGGGACAGAGAAACAGGGAGAAGAAGAGAAGGCCTGAGAGAAACTTTCCAGGAGATTAAATAATGGACCTTGTATTGAGACGTATCAAGTGACATTGCAAAGTTAAAATACTCTTCCCTTTGAAATTGGCACTGATTTATGTGGTGACTGCAGCAGAGCCCTGGCCCTCAGCTCTTGGTTCGCTGCATCTCCAGCAATCAGGCCGCCTAGATTCTGCTGAAGCAGCTGCCCTCTGAGTCTTCTGCCCTGAAAATAAAGAGCACATGGTCCCTGCCCTCACGCCAGAACACCTCATTTGTGCACAGGACTCGGTAGGCTTTGATCTTTGCCCCTCCAGTGTTCCCACCCCACCTGGAGGGAGAGGCTTGGCCATATGAAGCTCTGTATGTCCCTCCACAAACACAACAGGGGCTGAGGATTTTTTTTTTAAATCCCAACATTCCGAGAGGCTAGGCATGAGGTCTGGAAGATTCTCTAAGTATGTTTTGTGTATTTTTGGATGCCCACTTGGGGATGGGAAGAATAAAGGAGATTTCCCTCTCCATCACAGAAATCACTTGCAGAACAGCTGCTCCCATTCTGCTAAGAATGGGATTGTTTGCAGAGTAGCAGCAATGCTGAGCGTATTCCTCGCCTTAAGGAAAATGTGCTCATGATCCAGGAAACGGCTGTTCATTGTCTCCAGTTCTGGGGATTTTAATAAAAATTTGATAGGCTCTGTCAACTTCTAATGTTATCAGATCCAGAGTCCCTTACAATACACTTGGCGGGCGGTGGGGTGGGTGGGGAAGAAGTGTTATCTGCAGAGGCCAAGTATTGGCAGATGTTACATTTGATATTGTTTTTAAAGGTCCACATTGGAAATGCATAGTTGTGTTATCTTACATCACAGACACGAGTGCAATTTGCAGAGAATTGGTCTCAGCTGTTAGAGATT